GGAGAAGGAACTTCAAGTGGAGGGTTACACGGCGGCATATCTGGAGGAGGCCTGAAATGCGAAGGCGGACGAGCATACCTCATTAAGACTTTAAAAGAATTTCATAAAATAAATACTTTAGATTTTCCGTATCTGTTATATTTTGAATTTTGTAAAACGATTATAAATTACTAAACTTATAAGTATCTCACCTAAAAAAATTATAATGAATGGCTAAAAGTTGTTTGTTATAATAAAATACAAATGATGATAAAAAATATAAGTAAAAAATCTCACTTAATGGATATTCAGATTAAATATATATATATATTTAATATTTATAAATAAAATTATATACCATATATAATACATAAATATTTCAAAATTTTCAAAATTTTATAAATATCTATCATACTTAAATTGATAAAAGTTAAATATTTTCATAAATTTAATTTGATCAATAATTAATTATATTTTTTTGTTTTTATTTTAAAAATTTTACATATGTTTAAGAGATATAAACATATGTCGTCTAGTATAGTTATTCTTAAAAATAATTTAAAAATTTTGTAAAAAATATTTTGATAAGTGAAAATTGAAATCATGTAATTAAAATATGTTTAAGAGATATAAACTAAGATATAACAAAATTTAATTGTTTTCAACATAGATTAGTGAAAGTAGTGAGTCATGATATTCTTTGGTTTAGATTTTGCCAACTGATATTTTGTGTTTTTGACACCATTCTCATGTGTTTTTGATATCATTTAAGTGCTACCCTGGAGTTCTCTTAGTGTGTTTTTAGTCATTTCAGGTGGAGAATGTGCTGGATCGCACTAGAGGTACGCATGAATGAAAAGGTGCAAAAAGAGAGTGTTTTGTTGCACAGAGCAGCATCATGGGCAGGCACACGCGTCGCGGAGCGACAGCCACCTTGCTCCCGCGTTTTTAATGAGCCATGATCTATTTCGGGAAAGCTTCTGTCTGCCCTAGCAGAAGTTTATTTAACCTACTAAGAGGACTCTGGCCGCCTGGTCTCACTCACTTTTCGACCAGAGACAGAAACACATTAGTTTTTACAAGTTTTGAGAGTTCTTGTTGAAGATTGGTTCTTGCTATTTTGTAAGGGTCAAGGCTTGCTCCTCTTGGTTTTTTAGAGAAGAAATCCCTGAACCCTCTTGATACTCGATTTATTTGATGCATTATTCAGTATTGATTTTTGTGTTTTCTTGTGTTATGGTTGAGTAGTTGATATGTTAGCCTAGGGTTCTAGGGTGTTGATCCAATGAACTGAACATAGAGAAGCATTATTTTCGCCTTTGCTCTCCTCTGTCCTTAATGCCTATACTGATCTGATTACTTAGTATTTGATTCCAAGTTTAATCTTTTATCATTAATTATGAATTAGATTGCTAGATCTGTTGAGAGCAAGCATCACATCACTGATCAGCGAAAGTAGATATCAGGGTGTGATGTGAGCATTTTAGGTCTGTGCTTACTGTTTGGTGTTGAGCCGTGATACACGCGAGAGCATAGTATGTCATTTCTCTTCCGCGAAAGGAGCACGCCTGCGAGAGGAGGGTTCTCTAGTTAGAAATCTAAGTTCTAGGATGTTCTTAAAAAGCTTGAATAATTGTTTGGTTCAGTATGGTCAATACCCAATGAGATACCCTAGGTTAGCATCCTTATATTCTGACTGTTAAATCCAGTTGTTACTTGTTACTCAAGATTTGTTTTTCACAACACTTAATTGTTTTTAGCTTGAATTTGATCCTATAGAAATAAAGTGTAGATTTTGGTCTCTGTGGATTCGATCCTTAAGTGCTACATCGACATACCATTCGATTGTGGTAGTGTGCACATTAGGTTAATTGGTGTGTGTTTCACGCAATATCAATTTGGCGCCGTTGCCGGGGACCAATAATTTTACCTTTATTTTTTGGCAATTTTTCTAGTCTAAAACATCTAACTTGCTCTATCTTTTCTTTGCTTGCAGCTGATGTTCCAGGTGTATGACCAGTAGTAATACTCGAAGCCACACCTCAAGTCCATTAGTCACGCTCACCAACGAAGAGTTAGCAAGATTAGAAAGAACCAACAGACAACAACCAAGACCGACTCACGCCACAATAGGCGATCACGGCGACCATAACGATCTCACTGCAGCATTGGCTCTGATGCAATAGCAAATGCTCCAGATGCAGCAGACCATTCAAGCACAAGAAGCTGCTCGCAATCAGCAGGAACAAGCTGCTCAAATCGGTGAGCGAAATCTGCTGCGGAACATCCATGCTACGCGTTCTGCGATTGCTCCACCACCTTGTGCCAGACAAGACTTCAAGATCAAGCCTACTATGATCAATCTGGTGCAGAGGAAGATATTCCATGGGCTCCCAGCTGAGATACCTATGTATCACATTGAGGCTT